GATGAACATATACCCCCGTGTGGCAAATATATTCTTAGCTAATAAAAAAATTTAGCCTTGTTGAAATTGGGAAACGAAGGATATTTCTGCAGTAGATTCTGTATGAAATTCAGAAGCCAGGGGAATAAATTCATACCGTAGCATGAAAAGTTAACTGAGAACTTTTGACGCTGTGTTTGTCTCAGAAAGGTGAATCTTCCTAACTACAACTATTTTTGTTTGATCAGGTGCTGATGTTGCCGCTTCTTAGAACAATAACTTTGTGCTTCTCACTTCAATCCTTGGTGAAGCAGAATGCTGGACTGCTTATGGAACTTGTTCTTCAGAAGGCAACTTGTACCATATCCATTCAGAAAATAGTGTAAGTAATTCTTTGAAGGAATGAGCATATAACCTTTCTATCACCTCTAATTTTGTTCTTGTGAAATTTGATTTAATCTTTTTTGAGCACCCTCTTGTATGTTTTCTACACCCTTGTCTTGCCTACATACGTTTTCTTCATTACAAGACCCCTCTTAACAAAATGTAAAAAAGAGAAGATTGAGATCAGTAGATTTCTATTTGTAGACTGAAACTGATAAGCTAAATCTTAAGATCTCACTTTCTTATTACACACATGAAACACAATGGGTTTGGCACTGAATGCCTCTTGACAATGAAACTTTTGGCCGTTAACTATGCCACTTATCCTAGGTGTTTATATTTGATCCCCCTCAGGTGCCAGAGGCTATGTTTATGTAGTCACAGTTGCTGTTAGATGCAGATATGTTCTTCAATATTTGTAGGATCTTCTCTCTGGCAGCAACTATAAATAATCACTCTCTTCTGAAATTAAATTGATCATAAAGGTCATTAGGAAACTAGTAAGAAAGTGTCTTTTTACCTTGGTCGCCTAAGATAAGTTCTTGTAGATAGCATTTTGGGGATAAAATTTGGAATAACTGCTGTTAAATTCTCCCAAGAGGAATGTATTCCTGGTGAAACTTGTTAGAGATACCTTTGCCATAAAGAACAAGGAAAACAAAATGCCTTAGTAGTCGTAGTTACTCCCAAGTAGGAATTGAAAATTCAGATTGGGACCCAAATGATTCAAATGTGAAAACTGTAATTTTAAATTTTACATATAGGCTTTTCTTTAGGAGAAGTTTACATATTAAGCTTAGTTTGTTATGTTTGCAACAAATTTAGAATTTACATTGAATTTATTTAGAACCCTACACTTATTTCAACTAGAAGGTTATGAGAATCCAACTTAAAAAGATAAAAATTGAGTCGATATGAAATTCTAAATCAAAATTTGGAATTTATTTTCACTTAAAATTTCGTATACGCTCAATTTTTTTATCATTCTAATGAAATTTACGTATTCGTCTAGGTAAAATAAGTATGGTACTTGTCAGTGAATTTTACTTTCATCTCAAAGTTTGTCCGGAACATAGTTTTAGCAAATAAATAAAGATAAAATATGAACCAAATAGTGAAACTTAAAAATTTATGTACCATTAAATTTTCAACTCTACTGCATTCTGATTTCTGTAAACTAACATCAGCAGCTTCTCTATCAAAGTTTTGTTTGTATTCCCAGCTTTTTAGGTGGAATACATATTTCAAACTTTACTTCATTATATCACTTGTTACCATACACGCACACACGCACACACATATATATATATATATTTACGGATTGTATCAACTAATAATATTGCCCATCAGTCACGTAGTCAAACAAGTTCCCCCAAGGTTGATGTATTAGTTCAACAAATCACCTTGATGCAAACGTATTCTCCTTCCACTTTCCACATTATTTTACACTCTCCTCTGTTTCTTTTTTAAGTTCCTACCAGATTCACCAAACTCCAGAAACTTATGCCAGTTTGTAATATAATATCATGCTTACCCCTCTACTATAATTTCATTAACTTCTTAAGCTTATCTCTATACATTTGAATCTCTCAACAATACATATATATATATACATATATACGAATACAAAACTAGCTTCTGGACATTTACTGCAATCCCCAGATGTTGTTTCATGAAATTTAGGTCCACTCACATTATTATGATCATTATTATTATTATTATTATTATTATTATTATTATTTAACTTAGTTTAGATTAAAATGTGTAAGGTCACATGAGATATTAATGTTGACCTGTGTGGGTCAACTGTCTAACCAATACTAATCTTCCATTATATATTTTAAAAGATAAATGCTTTGGCATCTTATTCCTACTTTCACAGTCTTGGTCCTTGGAGGCAGTGAAGCAGCTAAGCTAAACTAGTTTATTATATATTAATATCAGTAGCTAATCATGTATATGTGTGGGTTTGTATATATATATATATATATATATATATATATTATATCATATTACCTGCAAATTGGAAATGGGTGCATTTTGTAAATTTTCGAAGTTTGGTGGGTGATAGAGTCTGGTCAATGATTCTCTATGTTAATCGGTATTTATGTACATACATATACATATATATATATATAGATGATATGGTTACTGCATTAATAAAATATTAGCATTAATCATGACCCTATTTATTATGTCATGGTACGCACCATAATTTGAAATTTATGTACGATTATTACACGTGCATTAATTATATAAGTATGTGTCGATCGCGATGATCATGATTAATAATATGATATATGATCTTATAATATCATTTGCTTATTTTTCAATTTAATTAATAAAAAAAGGTGGAGGATAGATCTTGGGATGGTGATTGGTTGGTAGGTTTTGGAAATAGAGATTCATCAGTTATATATATATATATGTACAATGTTGGCGTAGTCTGTAAACGGTCACGTGCAAATCACGTGGCCTAAACGGTCACGTGCATCCATCCAGATCTCAACGTTCCAAACAAATCCCCCATTTCATAAATATCTTTTTGATAATAAACCTGAATGATAAAAATAATTTTAAATATAAAATATTCTGATAATTTATTTCAAATTTCACGAAATTCATATAAAATATTTTAAATTTAAAAATAAAAAAATGTATATTTATATATCAAATTGGATCTTTATTTCTTTAGAATTAAAAAACAGTCGGTGTCGGTGAGAACTGAAAAAAAGAGTAGTAGTAGCACGGAGCTTGTCAATATGCGAATACAACACTGTGCCATGATTTGGCCTCACATGTCCACTGCTATCTTTATATATATATATATATATATATATATATATACACATATATAAAGTACATATATATATATAGATCATATAAAGTATATATGGATATATGGGTAAAATAAGAAAAAAAAAAAAAAAAAAAAAAAAGTAAAAGAGGCTGTCTGTTTGTGCAGCATCCCAAAAGGTTGTACTGTGCTAATTGGATTCCATCAGTCGGTCCTACGCCAAACATTCCCTAACTTCCCGCTTTATTTTTCTTTCTATTTAATCATAAAGTTTATACAAATTTATCTATTATTATTTTTTTAAAATTCAACTTAATATATATTAATTTTGCAATATAGAATAATTAAATTTTAAATCTTTATTTTAAATTAAAACTCAAATTAATTTCTGAAATATAATCTGTTGATTATTATTATTACAAACGTCATTCATAAATTTCATATTTACTATATTTTTTTATATATAAGAAATCATATTTAATCAAAAAAATATTATATATATTTTAAAAAAAGTTTCAAAATATATGGTGCAATTATTCTTGAAAGTGTTGATAGACTAAATAACTTTAAAAAAAATAAAAAAAAATATTTAAAATTTAATAAAAACAATTCTGACATACAATCGAATTTTTTATTAATATTAAAATTTTATTATATTTAATAATTTAAATATTTTTTATATTTATTTAAAATATTTGAATATTTTTATATGGATTTTATTTTCTAAAAAGCATTTGTAAAATTTTAAATATTAATTTATATTAAAATTTAATGACTTTTCCCTTTATAATATATATATGTATATATACACTCTTCATCTCAAATCCATTTTACTTTCATTTTTCCTTCCTTACCTATGATTTTGGCAACTTCAACCAACTTTTAGTTGGGATTTTATATATGAGATTGGTAAGAATTGAGCCCAAAATATATTCAAATTAATCAAATACCTCATATGTATTTACCTTGTATGTTTAATTAACTATTTATATACATATATATATATATATATTATAGTCTATAAGCAATATGACAACCATGTTCCCAAAATTGTTCTACAAATTTGTCCCAAAATTTTTTAATTTTCCATGAAAGGACTAGTCCATCATTAAACCCATCAAGTAATCCTTAAAACACAATTAATCTTTTAAACCATCCATTAATTATATAGAATCTCCTTTCAAATCACATTGACCAATTAATTTTTTTTACTAATTAAATTAAATTAAGTTGCAATGAATCAATACACCCCCACCAATTAATTTTTTTTTATATAATTTTTATATAATTCTTATCTGAATAAGATTTAATAGAATTGAATTTTTATTCATTTTATTACAGTAATTTAAATTTATTATGAAAAACTTTCGATAATATTTTAAATTAAATTGTTTTTGTAGTTAGTTAATAAATTATTTTTGTATTTAAAACGAAAAATGAAGAGTGCGAATTATTCTTAAATTTAAGTAAAAATTCAAAATTTATTTTAATAATTTTTTAAAATCGTTAAATTTTTTCTAAAATTATAATATTCTCACAAATACGATATTTTATTAATTTTTAAAAATTATTAATTTAATTTTAATCACATAATTCTAATATACTAATAAATTAAAAAATAATTACTTAAAATAACACAAAGCCCCTCATCATTTAACCGTACCATCAAAACTCCTTTAAATATTAAAAGAAAATAAAAAAAGAAAAAAGAAAAGCAAAAGGGAAAAAGGGGGAGAGAGAGAGAGAGACGATAACCAGCCACAGCTCTCTCTCTGCTACTCAATTCTTTCTTTCTCTCCCGACCAACGTTGACACTCACTTCACCAACCGCCATTGCTTGACCTTAAAGCCTCTTATCCAATAATTCCATTCATGTCCCGGCACTAATCAATTATTCACACCCAGATATAAAGATAAATAGGGGAGGGTAGACATGGATGTGAGCAGGAAAAGGGCGGGTATCAGGAGTACTGTGGTTGCGGGTTCTGTTTGGGAGAGCAGAATGAAGAGTGACGAGGTGAAAGGTGGAATTAAGGTCTTCAATGGAGGAGAGGAAGAGACTGGTAACGGGAATTCCAGCGAAGAAAGTGAGAAGATCACAAATGGTGCCTGTAAGAAGCAGCGTCAGTTACCTCCCAAGAGAGGCCTCACTATTGGCGAGGTCGCGGTGAGCGGCAAGCGGAAGATGTGGAAGTCCGAAAGCTTCGACGGGTTCGACAAGAAGAACAGTGCAATTCATATTGCGAGCAGAGAGCTGAGCCTGTCGGTTGATGGAATCAAGAAGAGTCCAATTCCCAAAGGAAGATCTGAAGGCAGAAATCGCGAGGATCAGTCCAAGGAGCTTACTGTGTCCGTTGATGGAAGCAAGAGGAATCCGATTCAGAAAGGAAGATCTGAGCTCAGGAATGGCGAGGAACAGTGCAAGGAGCTCAGTGTGTCCGTCGAGGGAATCAAGAAAAGTCCAGCTCCAGTGAGAAAGGGAAGACCGAAGTCCAGCGACGGAAATGAATGGAGTCCGGTTCCGATAAAGAAGGGAAGATCTGAGACTGCTGAAGGAAACGAGAAGAGTCCAGTTCAGATTAGGAAGCAAAGATCCGAGGGGTCAAATGTATCTGGTGAATTGTCCGAAAACATTGTTGAATTGAGGAAGACGAAATCTGACTCCGGTAAGATTGTTTCGGGTCAATCCGGTACGGCTGTCGGTGCAGCAGAGAAATCGGAATCGGGGACCAATAAGTTATTGGATGGTCCAAGAAAGGACAATAACGAGACATGTCCAGCTGAGCTTGAGGGAAAAGGATCCAATGAGAACTGCGAGGAAGTTGGTGTTATATGCAAAGAGATGGTGGTTTCAAGCAATGACGGTGAAACGAAATCGCCCGGAAAAGTTCTGATCCGAAATAACCAGACTGATGATGAAGAATACGATGATGGTGATGAAGAATTTGAGGAAGAAGAAGAAGAAGAAGAGGAAGAAGAAGAAGAAGAGATTGAAATTGAGATAGAGAAGAAAAGCATTGATGTTAAGGAAGTAAATGTACCTGAACAGAAGCCAAATAGCAACAAGATCATCAATGAAGTGAAGAAGTTTAATCAATTCAACAACAGAGCACCACCATTTTCTTCAACTGTAAACAAACAGGCTCCTCCTGTAACCAATCGTGCTAGTGCGTTTTATTCAACTCCTCCAAAATCTAAAGGTATGTGTGTTTCATATTAGTATTTTCCTCTGTTTTCCTCTGTTTCCAATCTGACTCTCAGCCATTGTTGTTGCTTCCAGTTCCTTTTTCACAAGAGTACCAGAGTTTCCCTCAAACCCAGAACAAATTGCAGAACCTGGGTGAGATTCAGTTTAGTTTGCAGATTTTGATTTGTGATTTGTTCAACAGTTTCGGTCTATGATTCTCCTCAATTCTGTGTGTGTGTTGAAATTTCAGTGGATTTAGTAATGTGGAGAGACATATCGAAATCGGCATTTGTTTTTGGGTTAGGAACATTCATCATAATCTCGTCATCCTATACCAAGGACGTCAACATTAGGTAAACAGAAAATCATTATCATTTCTTGCAGAAAATTTCACTTTCAGTTTCAATTCCCTTCTTGTACTTTTCAGTTCAATGAGCTCTGCTTCAAAAACAGAGTCAAAGTACTACAATACTGATGCTAAAACATTTTTTGATTTTTTATGCAGCTTTATTTCAGTAATTTCCTATCTGGGTCTTGTTTACCTTGCTTCCATTTTCCTATACAGATCCATTATTTGCAGGTAAACACTTACTGTAGTCACACTCTCATTTAGAATGTATTGAGATTAAATCCCTTTGTATGGTAGGTCAATTTGATCGTATTGCGTAAATTTTGTGGGTACTTTACTTTTTATGCTTAAAATTTACTTAAGATGATGATATTCTCAATTAGAATGTCTTGAGTTTAAATCCTTCTTTATGGTTGATCGATTTGATCGAATTACGTAAATTTTGTGGGTTCTTTACTTGTTATGTTTAAAATTTACTCATTACTTTGTCAAACTGTATGCGACTCTCATGATAGAAATAATGGACGACTCTCGTGATAGAAATAATGACTCCATATTTTTTGTATTTAAATCTAATTTCCGAGAAATCTTAACCACCTAAACACATAAAAATTTAATCAATGAACAATTTTTTTCTCAATTTAGAGTCGATATTCTTTGTATTCAGGGGAGTGATAGACATAGATGATTCGAGCTATGTTGTTGGAGAAGATGAAGCTGTGTGGTTACTCAAATTGGTGTTGCCTTACTTGAATGAGTCCTTGGTGAAACTCAAGGCTCTCTTCTCTGGTGATCCTGCTACTACAATGAAGGTATTTTTCTTTCTTTTCTTTTCTTTTTTGCTTTTCTTTTTCGTCTTTTTGGGTAAACAGATTTTGATGGTTTGTGAAATGGGCAGTTGGCAGTGCTGCTATTTGTTTTGGCAAGATGTGGAAGCTCCATTACCATATGGAAAATGGCCAAATTAGGTCAGTTCAATCTTTTTGTTTGCATTATGAGTATGGGGAAAATGTTCTTTACTTTTGGTTAATCCACTCTACTTTAATACTGACCAAATTAGTATCATTCATATAATTTCCTACCATAAAATTCATTATCTACACTTTCGTAAAAGAATTTTTTTTGCATGGACTTGAGAATATGTTTTACGACGTGCAAAATTGTCGGGTACATTTCCAACTCCCATATTTGAATCTATTTCTTTAAATAAAACAAAGAATAACTTCGAGTTTTAGTTGTCGACTCTACAACAGAGAGTAATATTAAATATTCTCTGATTTCATTTCATTTTATCTTGATTTAAATAAATAAAGTTCTTGATGTTCTCTCATAATTTTAACTGAGAATTAACTTTTCAAGTACCAAAAGTTTAAAAACTTCATCTACTTTACCCCCTTACTATTTTGCTTCATGGTACAGTTGCAATATCACAAAAGTTAAATTTTTTTTTTTAACTTTTTACCCTTGTTAATTTTTACGTGGGATAAATCTTTAGACAGAGAATATGTAACAGTAGAAAAGGGAATTTCCATGAATGTGCCTTTCACTTTCCCTCTGACTCTTTTGATGTCCTCACCTTGTCAGGATTCTTTGGAGTTTTCATTGTACCAAAAGTCTGCTCCTCCTATTCAACACAGTTAACTGCATACGGTAAATACTACCAAAACCCTTCACTTTATTTATTTAATTTTTTTTTTTTTAAAAATATTTTTTCTCCTGACTAAACTCGAGATTTAATCCTATACCCTTAAGGTGTACCCCATCTGGGTACACCACCAGTTTATCATGACATTCGATAATCACAAGTTTGTCCCCTTCCTTCATAGTTGATAAAAATGATAGGTACAACTTGTCTGATGGTTTCTAACGGCTCTCTTTGATCTCGTGATGACGTTTCCTATAAGCAAAGATTTATTGGGTCCTACCATAAGAATGGTGTATACTGTAGCATAGGATCCAAACCTGTCTTC